TGTATAAAAGATTTTAATTAAATTTCAATAAAGACAGAGACATGGTCTCACCATTAATATTCAAAAAAAAAAAAATATATATATATGTATCAAGAAAGGAAATTAAGAAGCATGATAAACAAAATAATTTTATAGGATTATTGTTATATATATGTGCCTAAATCTAAAAAAAGGCAAATCTGAAAAGTTTGTATATTGTTTTATAACTATTGTAGTAAAGAAATTGGACAATCTGTTTTAGATAAGATATTAATAAGTGGGTTCTGAAATATGCAGAATTGATTTAATAAGCAAAGGTATAAGAAATTTTTTAATTAAATAGCAAATTTTAATTTTTAAAAGTTAGTGCACAATGTGAAACCCTTTAAGTCTAGAACAGACTAATAAACCTATTTCTAAAAGGTTTTTGCTTAGAGGTACACCAATCGTACATAGATAACAGTCAGGTGCAGTAAACTGTAAAAATAATTATTTCTATATTCTTGAATGCACCTTTTACTTATTAATTAATTGATTACTAATAGTTAAATTATAGTTCTTGAATGAAAGAATTATTTATAAGTAAGTTCAAAGGTAACTGAAAAGATTTATAATGAAATTAATATTTTAAATTTAAAATTATAAAACATTGTCAAAGACATTACAGTAATAGATGAGTTATATAAAAAAATGTGAGTCCACTTAAATACATATTTCTTAACAAAAAATTGGTTTTAATAAAGATCAAATTAATTGGGATGATTCTGTAACATTAAAAAATCTACTGGAATATTGAATTTACCAAAAAAATAAATATCACCTAAATGATATTGAGCTATACTTTTACCATTTTCAGCAGACTGATTAAGATAGTTAATAAATGCTGGTATGTCTTTTATAGTATTATTTTTATTAATAAAAATGCATAACGCAATTAAGCACCAGCAATTCCTTTATCAAGCTGCTTCTTTATATAATTCTGATGCTTTATCTTTATCTTCAGGACCACCAATACCTTGATACAAATAATAGCCATACCAGTAAGTTATTAACTTATATACTTTATAGTATTCCGCAAGGAATTTTCATTTCCTTTTCTATTCTCAAGCGTTCTGTAGAATTTGTGTCTATATGATTAATCAGAAACTCATGTATATGGTTATGTCATAAGTTGTTGGAATCTTCAAACTTGTTGAATTTGCTTCAATTTTCTTATAATGATGTTTTGGGATAGTATCTTCTTCCATATTTTTTTTGAAAATAATTATAATTTTATAAGCTCCTAAAAGAGGTTAAAACACAATCTTTATATTTTGTTGTCAAAAATGCAATTTACAAAATCCAACATGAAGGTTTAAATACAATCTTTTTTGTTACAAAATGACGCAAATTAGTAAAATCCAATATTGTAAATTAATTTCTGTATCAAATTTTTAAGAACTAAAACTCAATTTAAAATTGAATAAAACTACATACAAGCTTTGATTTTCTTTTCTATTTACTTTTCTAGATTTCATTTGTGCTATACTTTGAGTTTTGCTGAGTTAACAATTAACTTTAAGAGAACTAATAATTAATTTAGCGAAGACTTTCAATAACAAAAGATTATGGTTCACACTCAGATATATAATTATTAGCTAAATTGTGTGTCTCCAAATAACGCCCTTAGGCGTAAATACAGTATTGTAATTATATTGAACCATAGATGAATGTAAATTCTTATTTTTATCATTTAATCAACTAAGCTATACTGTAATTTGCATAAATGTATTGTACTATTCGTATTTATTGAATTCAAAATTCAAATGTCACTAACGTAATAAAAAAATTCGATCATAATTTAATGTATTGTTTCTTAAATTATAAATATTAATTCAAAAAACAATTATTATTGAAAATATCAGGAAAAAGTTTCTACAATTATAATAAAACTACAAATTTTTTTAAAAAATGTTTTTCACCATTTCGAAGAAAGCCTCAATCGCCCAAAATCTATTCCTTTCAAAGGAATCATAAGCCAAGAAACAATAAATTGTTACTAGAAACATCATCGATCAACAAACATTAGAAAAAATCAATAAAACAGTTGTCTTATCTCTTCATCAGCTTATTGCACCAAGTAAAAATCGAAGAGGGCACCAAATTCCAAGACCTCAAAATAGTTTTGTATTATACAGAAGGAACTTAAGTGCAGCAATTAATAAAACAAATGATGCAACAAACAATCTCGCAATTAATAAAACGAATGATGCAACAAACAATTTTAAATTTATTTCAAAAGAAGCGGCCAAAAATTGGTCAAAAGAAAGTAATGAGGTTAAGCAACTTTACGAATTATTAGCTGATTGTGCAAAGCAAGTTCATAATATAGTGTACCCTCATTACAGTTATAAACCAAAGCAGAAGAAATTTAAATATCATTTTAAAGTGCTAAAATCATCGCTTGCATCCCAGAACATACCTTGGGCATGTCCTTTTCCAAAAAATTTATATACACGAAAAAAAAATCATGTACACCCCCAATCTTGCCCCCTCCGATTATAGAAGTTGACAGAAATTTTACAGAATATGATAAAAAAGTGTGGGGGTTAGTTAATGACTTAAACAGAGTATAAGTCTATTTTCTCATATTGGTGGTCCCATTAATTTTTTTTAATTTAATCACTATATAATTTAATAAATATAATAAATGTGCTAGAAAAATTCAAAAACACTTCGTCAACAATACAAAGTATACACTGAGTAAAAGAAAAAACAACGCTTTTAGTTTGGTTTATTAGTTATAAATTCTTCATAATTATTTAATCCTTAATCGTTTAACTAATCCAGCTGCTGTGTTAGTATCTGTTAGATGTGTTGATATCTGTGGATAATAAATTTGATGCATACTATATCTGCTAAAAGCGGTAGCATTATGCCCCTCCACATGAATGTGGCTATTAGTATCATAAGCGGCAATATTACTAATGCTAGCACCAGTATAAGACATTGTTTGTTGTGGGATACTTGCATTACCTCCAAGCCCTTGTGCTGGAAGGTAATGTTGTTCCATAGTTGTGTGAGTATAACGAGGTGGTCGGTATGGCATGCTCAGCATACTGCGACAAATACTCGAAGATCTTTTGTTACGACATGGTTCAGTTTCATTAGCACTGAAGTCTAAAGTCTAGTATGACCCTCTACCTGGATCATGACGTGGAACACGGACAAATCTTTTATTTAAAGACAAATTATGTCTAATTGAATTCTATAAAATTTTAAAAATTTTATTTATTAGTATTCGTAACAAATAGAATAGCATATAAAGTTACATTAATTTTAATAAAAAATGCATACTTTCCAGCCCTCACCGGCGGTCTTATAGTAGGGATAATTCTCCATAATCCAATTGTAAATTTCATTTAATGTGAGTTTTTTATTAGGAGAATTTGCAATTGCATAATTAATCAAAGTTGCATAAGTATATGGTGATTTTCCATCTTGAGGATTTTTTATTGGTGATGATGTGGCAACTCCCAATGACACATTTAAAGACGTATTGATAACTTGTTGAGTTGAATTTGATCCAGCCATTGTCGAAGTTTGGGAGTATTGATCGGCATTATACACGATGGGATTATGTGAACCTATACCATAATTCAAGTGCCGATAATGAGTATAAGATTGTTGTGAAGAGGTTTGTTGTTGATCAGTCGACATTCCTACAAAACTAGAGGCAGTTTTGAGTTAGGTAATAATAAAATGATCTATCTATCTTTAGTATCATTTGTTGGAAAAAAAAATTTTTTATAGGGCAGCATTTTGAATTTGGGATCTTTGCTAACACAATAATCCCGAAAGATTATTCTGCTAGTAAAGATCTCAATTATAATATGGCCCAAGGGTGCATAGTATAAGTATCATTTTGAGATAAATTTTAATCTACTTTTAGGACAATATTTGTGTAATCTCTAAACAAATTATTATAGGCCTTTTTTTGCAATTTCAGGCACTTTATCGTTTATTTCATAAACACTAATGTTTTTCATAATTGAAATTATTAAGTTTACTTTGCTATAACTTACTGGTGATATGCGAAAATTCTTTATGTTTTTTTTAAATCCAATAACAGTAAAACCTTTTCAAAAAATTAAAAAACTATTTTGTGCTCTTGGGGGATTTGATTTAGTTCTTACGGCAGCTATAAGATGAAAAGTCCTGGATTCAAGTTTATGAACTTCTTCAGGATTTTTAATAAGCTCTTTAATTACAATATATTTTTTTTTTACACTGAAACGAGATTACTAAAGTGTCTGAATGCTATCGAAATTTTTGAATGTTTATATATTGGTCAATAGTAATACCACTCAATTATTAGTAATCCATACTTTATACACTTTTTTAAACCAGACAATGGAAATAATCTCAAGAATCGTCATAAAAATATGCTTAAATTTTAATTATGTATAATATTTTGTCCTTTTATTGGGTTATTTATGATCTACACGAAATTATAAATTTAAGTTTCAATGAAAGCATTTTTATTCAAATATGACCTAAGACCCTGTTTAGAAATAGTTCTCAGAGATCAATTTTATTATCTGAGTAAAAAGGATAAAATAATTATTTTACTTTTCAGGATCATAATAGTTTTTTTGCAGATTTGTCTAATATGTAGCTAGTCAATCTAATTTAGGCAAGGTCTTCATGCGGACAAATTTTGGAATTTTTGAATAAGATCTTAAGATCTTAGCATATGTACGTATGTATCAAATCGCGGAGACAGTGCAATTTTAGGATAAATTTAGATTTAAAAAAATATCAATCACTCTAGATCTTATTAAAACAAATTTAATTTACATGTATTTATTAATGCCTTGATACAGCTTTTAAAGCTAATAATTGAGAAATTGATGGGACAAAGTTGGGACGTCCCAGGACAAGATGGGACCAAAAAAGCTTGGGTAAGTCAAAATGTACGGGGTAAATTGTTTGAGTGATCGCTGTTATTTTGATGTGATAGAAAAATCTATTAAGTTGGATTAATAAAGATTTAGAGCAAATTAATGACTTGAATTTCCAAAAGTATTAAAAAATTTTATTTAAATTTTTTTTAATTGAGAGACGCCAGTAGGCATATTTGAAATTTACCTAATTTAAACAAGCAATAGCATATAAAAAGAAAATTCAAAGAAAATTAATAGCCTGATTCGGACCAAATAAATAACTCTTTTCGTTTAAATGACGTAATTAAGTAAATATAGATCTGAATTTCGTTTTTATTTCGATTGACCAAATTTGGAATTAAAAAAAAATTAATTTTTATTGGCTGATTAGCCGATTCAATTGTTTATTTGGAATCAAAAAAATAAATTTATTGGTCGAATCAAATTTTGTTTGTTTATATTCTAAATTGGCCAAATTTAGAATTAAAAAAAAATACTAATTTTATATTAGCCGATTCAAAAATTTTTGTTTGTTTACATTCTACCAAATTTGAAATTAAAATAATAATAATTCTACAAGACCAATTTTTTTAAATTTCGTAAGTTAATTTAAAATTTTTATATACATTATTGTAAATTGATTTCATTTAACTCAATTCTTATAATTATTATCTTCATGGCCTGAAAAAAAAAATAAATAATGTAATATTTCATCATGTAAAAATTTTTTTTATTCACATATTGCTACATGATTGCAATTTTTCTACAAGTCATTCAACTAACAATATACCTTATATGATGCAGTTAAGTGGCATGTAGGAACAATGACAAGAAGTTGGGAACCACCCCTGTTATATGGTACTTTTATTGGTATCATTTGATTCTATATCTGTATATAGCATTTAAATTAAAATATTGTTATTTATTAAGTTGATACTTTTCAGCCAGTTCAAGAATCATATTTGGTATAAGGTCATAATCATTTCTATGTGATATCATTGTTATCATCACATCACAGGGAGGCAATATTCTATCTGAAATTTTTTAAGATATTTATCAGAAAATTCTTATTGGTAAAATTCTTACCATAAATACCTACTTTTAGATTTAAAGGGCTTTAATGTAGAGAAAATCAAACTTCAATCTGCCTTTAACATAATATTCAATTTGCA